CATAATTATAAAAGCAACCGGTGACACACGAAGTATTTCTTAATTTTAAGAATAAAATGGCAGCTGTGAAAACAGATGAAGTAATTAGAGGAAGAAATTTCATAGAAGCTTCAAGATGATATTTTCTAAAGTAATTAGCACTAGTTAGCCAGGAAGTTCTGTTCTCAGAAATTACCCATAAAGAGAAACATGGACTAAAGACAAAAAATGTGCCACTAGAGGGATTTCTTAAATAATGGGTTCTATTTTCAATACAATTTGGGTTTTTTATGAAAAGGAATGTGCAACTGGAGCTGGTGGTTCACGCCTATAATCCTAGCTACTCAGGAGGTTGAGATCTGAGGACCGAGGTTTGAAGCCAGCCCAGAAAGTAAAGTCTGTGAGACTTTTTTTTTTTAGGTCATGGGACTTGAACTCAGAGCATGGGCGCTGTCCCTGAGCTTTTGTAGTCAAGGGTAGCACTCTGTCACTTGAGCCACAGTGCCACTGTGGTAGTTAATTGGAAATAAGAGTTTCACAGACTTTCCTGCCCATGCTGGCTTCAAACCACAATCCCCAGATCTCAGCCTCCTGAGTAGCTAGGATTACAGGTGCAAGCTACTTGTGCTCAGTTTCTGCTAGAATTTTTAATTGTGGCATTTATATATAATATAAAATTTACTGCCGGGCGCTGGTGGCTCACACCTGTAATCCTAGCTACTCAGGAGGCTGAGATCTGAGGATCGCAGTTCAAAGCCAGCCTGGGCAGGAGAGACCGTGAGACTCCTATCTCCAATAAACCACCAGAAAACTGGAAGTGGTGCTATAGCTCAAGTGGTAGAGCACTCTCCTTGAGGTAGAGAGCTGAGGGATAGCGTCCAGGCCCAGAGTTCAAGCCCCATGACCGAAAAAAAAAAAAAAAAATATATATATATATATATATATATATGTATATATATAATTTACTATGTTAATTTTTTTAATCTTGGTACTAGAGCTTGAACTCAGGCCTCACACTCTTGTTTAGCCTTTTTTGCTCATTGGAGCCAGGCCTCCACTTCTAGCTTTTTGCTAGCTGATTGGAAGTAAGAGTTTCTTGGATTTGTATGCTTGGTCTGGATTTGAACCATGGTCCTCAGATCTCAGCCTCCTGAGTAGCTTGGATTACAGGTGTGAACCATCCCCACCTGGCCTGTGAGACTCTTATCTCCAATTAACCACCAGAAAACCAGAAGTGGATCTATGGCTCAAAATGATAGAATGTAGTCTTGAGGACAGAAGCTCAGGAACAGTGTCCAGGCCCTAAGTTCAAGCCCCATAACTGAATGTGTTGATACCAGGCCTGGCCTCAACTGGCCCTGAACTTGGACAACAATGAACTAAGGAGTGAGGGTGTAGAGAGCTGGAGCAGAGCTGGGCAGCTTTTGGCCAATGACTTTTCCAGAACTGTGCTCCTCATTCCCTATATGCCACTGCCAACCAGGACATACCTGCCTAGAGGTGCAGATTGCAGTTGCTTTAAGGTAACATTAAGCTGTTTGAAAATAAGAATAATTCAAGTTTTGTGCTGAGTGGATGTTTTTCCACAGTGCCAAGAGGTTTCCAAGTAAAAGAAAAATTTATGGGTATTTAGGGGTGTGGGCTAGACTTAGAGTGTTTCTATAATTTCTTACTTTCTGTAACCAAGCAGAGCAGAGATGAACTCCAGACTCCAAGTTGCCCAGAAACAAGCATCAACTGCTAAGATTTCCCCAAAAGGTATATGGATCAGTTCAGAACTGCCAACATCTGGGGCTGGGAAGGTGGCTCAGTGGTAGAATGCTTGCCTCACATGCATGAAGCGCTGGGTTTCATTCCTCAGCACCACATAAACAGAAAAAGCCAGAAGTGGCATTATGGCTCAAGTGGTTGAGTACTAGCTTTGAGCTGAAAAGCTGAGGGACAGCGCCCAGGCCCAGAGTTCAAGCCCCATGACCGACCCCCCCAAAAAAAAAAGAACTGTCAAGATCTATGCCTTTAGGAAAGTACTAAACATGTATTAAGTGTTGAGTGGCTGGTTTCTGAGTAGCCATTGAGATCACTCCCTGTAGATTCTCTAGCTAACTGCGACTAGCAGCTCTCTGAGCTGTTTTCAAATGAATTACCAAGGAGCCATGTTGTCAGTTCAGCTAATCAATTATCAAACTGTAATGAGCATGAAATAGTTGCTACTACTGTCTTGTTTATATATTCAGTTTTATCATACCTATTAGTAAAAAAAAATAACCTTATTGCTCTATAACTCATTTTCAGATTTGAACTTGGGGCCTCTCACCTGCTTGACTTGTTTGCTGGGTTGGTGTTCTTCCACTTGAACCACATCATTAGTGTAGCATTTTGCTAGGGTTGTTGTTGTTGTTTTGAAGCTTGAGGACTTTTCTGTCTGGGCTGTTCTCTAACCTTGACCGTCCTGATCTCAGCCTCTCAAATAGCTAAGATTACAGATGTGAGCCACTAGTACCTACCTTAACTCTCACTTCTTATAATAAAATAAAGTCAAGTAACTATGTAAACAAATGCTTTTCAAACTGTTTTACCTAACAGATTACTTGCTTTCACCTTGTTGCTTCTATTTCCAACTTTAAGAGATTTGCTTTGCCTCTATATAAATATACATGTTATAATTTTGAAATTTAAAAAAGTGTTAAAAGACTTTAGTGAGTCCCATCAAAACATTTGTGTAAAATAAGGTAGGACAAGGTCATGGTTCCTGGTCATGTGCCCAGCCTGCCCCCTAGTGTTGCTTTTTAAACACTACCAATTGTAAACCATATCCTTAATCTCAAAAAACTGGTTTAATAGGATTAAGAACTGTGTCATCAGTTTAATAGAACAAGGCCAAATCCCAGATAAAAACTAAACCAGGAGAAAGTGAAGGTCTTTCTGGAAGCTACTGGAAACTTCTCTGAGAAGAGACTACAAAGTTCGTGGTAAATATATTATATTAAGACTTTCCTTTGATAAACAGGACATTAGTAGAAAGAGGGGCTGGGGGCATGACTCAAGTGGTAGTGTGAGGTGGACTCCAGGCTCAACCTCTAGCTTTATCATAAAACAGATAAAGCTCAAATGACACGTCAGAATTACTTAACTACTAGTACAGCTGTTTGTTTTGTTTTGTACCAGTCTTGGGGTTTAAACTCAGGGCACTGTCTCTGAGCTTTTTGTTCAAGTCTACCACTTGAGCCCCAGTTCCACTTCTTGCTTTTTGTTGGTTAATTGAAGGTAAGAATCTCACAGACTTTTATATCTAGTCTGGCTTCAGACCACAACCTTCAGATCTCATTATCCTGAATCACTAGGATTAAAGACATGAGCCATCAGTGTCTGGCAAACAGATGGCTTTTTGTTTTTGGTTTTGTGTGTATGTGGGTCAGTCCTTGGGCTTGAACTCAGGGCCTTGGCACTGACCTTGAGCTCTTGTACTCAAGGCTAGTCCTCTTTGAGACACAGGTCCATTTCCAAGTGTTTTGGTAGTTAATTAGGATAAGAATCTTATGACTTTGCTGTCTGAGCTAACTTTGAAGCATGATCCTCAGATCTCAGCCTCCCCAGTAGCTACGATATAATTATAGGTGTGAACCTCCAGGATCCAGCTAACAGCTGATATATTAATACTGTATTTAAAAACTATCACAAATCTTGATTTAAAGAATGGAGTCTTGCTGGGTGCTGGTGGTTCATGCCTGTAATCCTAGCTACTCAGGAGGCTGATATCTGAGGATTGCAGTTCAAAGCCAGCCTGGGCAGGAAAGTCCGTGAGACTCTTCTCTCCTTTAGACCACTAGAAAACTGGAAGTGGCGCTGTAGCTCAAGCAGTAGAGTGCTTGCCTTGAGCTGAAGAGCACAGGACAGCGCCTAAACCCAGATTTCAAGCCCCATGACCAAAAAAAAAAAAAGGAATGGAGTCTTGTTTTTAAGACATAGCAAATATGCACAAAGTAGATAAATACCCCCCTTTAGGGAAAGTAAGATAACTCCTCTTATATTCAGGTTTGACTTTATTAAAGCGTTCAGTTGCTCACTAAGTTGCCTTAGTAAAATTTTCAATATTTGTATTTAAGATATAAAGTAGTGTATATCAAGTTAAAATGAAGCAGAAATCCATTATCTAAGGAAAAATAATGTAACAGTACATGCCCATCCAGCATGATAGGTTGAATTAGAAGTCCTAGAAAAATGTGTATGATGGATTTTTCTTTCAAAAAGAGTAAGTCATGATGTTTCCATGCAAGAACTCGAGGACTCAGAATGTTGGAGGAAAACTCTGACATAATCTAATTCTGTCTTTAGAGATGCTTACCGTTGGTAAGGAAATGAACTGATTTGGACTCTGTCAGCCACACTGCTCCTTGCCTTGATTGTCAAAAACTTCAGAAAGTGACCTTACTTAACTAAGTCACAGAATATAAACTCAATAGGAACGCAAGTTTGTTCGGGTTTTTAACTTTGTATGTATGTGTGTGTCTGCGCGCATGCACACACTCAGCTACTAGGGCTTAAACTCAGGTCCTTGCACTGTTGCATGGCTTTTTTTTTAACTCAAAGCTGGTGCTCTACCAACTTGAGCAACAGCTCCACTTCTGGCTTTTGGCTGGTTAATTAGAGATGAGTCTCATGGATTTTTCTTCCCAGGCTGGCTTTGAACCATGAACCTCAGACCTCAGCCTTCTGAGTAGCTAAGATTACAAGTTTTGTTTTTTTTAATATAATTTTAAATTATTTTAAAATAAATTTTTAATTTTTATGTAATGCTGAATCTTGAACTAAGGGCTTTTGTGCTTGTGGTGCCACCAGCCATGCTGGTCATTATCAAACCAGGCTATCTTTTAAGCTTCTTTATGTCTTTTTAGCATAAAGTGTCTAAAGTCATAAAGAAAAATGAACAGAATAGTGTTCTGGAAGAGCATGTGGTTTGAATTAATGTGAACAGAAGACATCTGATGTGGGTTTCTTTCTCCTTCACAGAACAGAACCAGAACATGAAGCCATTGCTCTTGGTGTTTGCTGCCTGTCTGTTGTGCTGGAAAGATTGCCCTTGTGCACCTACTTGGAAGGACAGAACTGCTCTCGGTGGAAATCTGAAGGGTCTGCCTGCTTTCTTATCTGTGCTGTTTCCTGCCCCGCTGGGATTTCTACAGACTCCCAGTTGAGAGATAACTGTGTTCAATACAGTTCACCTTGGAATGGTCTCCAGGCACTTCAGCCAAGTCGTGTGACACCAAACATCTGGATCAAGATAGAAAATTCCAACCAGGTCTCCGTGCGTGAGCCTTCACATATCCAGATGTTTGCTATTGCAGAGACACAACAGGCCAGCTTTTTGACAGGCTGGTTTGGGTCTATCCAGATGTTTGGTGTCATCTTAGCACGGCTTTAATGAACAGTGAAAAAATTTTTTTCTAGCATTTAAAAAATTTGAACCATTAGAGTAATGTGTGTCATTGTTCTTAAACAAGTCCGGGAGGGAGTTCTAAGTACAGTGTGTGGTATGTCCATTTGCTTGTGCCTTTGTCTGGAGATATGGGTTTTAGGTCCTTAACCCTTAGAAGAAGAAATGAGCTTAAATGGAGTTGACCTGGTCTAGAGTTAAACTCAGAAGCAGGAGTAAGCTCATGGGGGAGCCATACTGGCTACTAAGAGAATGTGCCCATGAACATGGTCCCTGCTGAGGGGTTAAGAAGGATAGGAAAGAGTGTCTATTAGGTATTGAGGACTCATGTAATTCATGAGATACTTGTTCTTGGGAGATAACTGCAGTTCACAAAGGTAGGCTGGATGCTAGTAGCTCATGCCAGTAATCCTAGCAACTTGGAGGCTGAAATCTGGGGATCACAGTTCAAAACCAGCCTGGGTAGGAAAGCCTGTGAGACTCTTATCTCCAGTTAACTACATAAAAAAAATAAAGAAGGAAGTGGAGCTATGACTCAAGTGGAAGAATGCTAGCTTGAGCAAAAGAGCCCAGGCCCTGAGTTCAAGCTCCAGGACACACACACACACACACACACACACACACACATACACACACGAAGGTAATTAAAGTTCCCAGTGGAAACCCTCAAGTTTTTGAGAAATATTTGGAGCTTTCTATAATATAAAAATAGCTGGGTCCGCCGGGCGCCAGTGGCTCACGCCTGTAATCCTAGCTCCTCAGGAGGCTGAGATCTGAGGATCACGGTTCAAAGCCAGCCCGGGCAAGGAAAGTCCGTGAGACCCTTATCTCCAATAAAAACACTAGAAAACTGGAAGTGGTGCTTTGGCTCAAGCGGTAGAGTGTTTGCCTTGAGCTGAAGAGCTGAGGGACAGCGCCCAAGCTCAGAGTTCAAGCCCCACAACCGACCAAAAAAAAAAAAATAGCTGGGTCCATGTAGTGGCTGTGTCCACGTAGAGGCTGACAGCTAATTCATTATGACTAGCTTTCAGAGTACAAGGCTATAAGAGAACAATGAAGCCTCTATTCAGAAGACAGGAAAGATGAGGGATTTCACTGTTGTGTAATCTGATCAGATTCTGAAAACCTACACCATGTCTTGTAGGTTTGTTGGAGGAGGGGGAGACAGAGGCAGGTGGAGAGCTGAAGAAGGCTTTGATGGGGATGAAGCAGATGAGAATCGTGATGGGAAGGAGAGAAGAGGAGCACGGCAGACTCATGGAAACCTTGAAGAAGTGCAAGGAAGAAAAGCAGGTGCTGTAGTGAAAAATAACATCTGTTTGTTCTTAAAACATATCTGAGCTCTAAATGCGCCCTTCTCATGAAATTGGCAAGTTACCCATTTTCCTTACTGGTAATTTTTTTGACAAGCAACTTTGGGGTTGAACTTAAGGCTTTACACTTGCTGAGAAAGTACTCTACCACTGAAACCATGATCCCAGCCCAGTTTTGCATTCATTATTTTTCAGGTAGGGTCTTTTTGCATAGGCTGGCCCAGACCATGATCCTCCTTTTTACACTTCCCATACAGCTGGACTGACAGCTGCATTGAGATTTTTATTGGTTGAGTTTGGGATCTCAACTCCTTTTTGCTCTGGGCTCAAATTGTGACTCCTCTGACCTCAGCCTGCCATAAACAGCATTATTTGTACTAATACTAGAGTTTAAACTTGGGACTTTGTGCTTTCACCCCCCCCCTCCCTGTTTTTCTTTGCTCAAGGCTAGTGCTCTTCCACTTGAACTATGCCTCTAGGTCAGTATTTTGCTAGTTAGTTGGAGATAAGAGTCTCTGACTTTTATGTCTGGGCTTAGAACCTTGATCCTCAGATCTCAGCCTCCTGAATGACTAGGATTATAGGCATGAGCCACCCACACTCAGCTGAAAACAGCTTTGATTGGAGGAAAGCTTGAAAAATACCTTCGCATTCCCTGAAAGAACTTATTCCTTATTAGAACAAGTCTTTGCAGGACTCCAAACATGGCATTTGTGGATTCGTTCCTGTGTAGGAGGGGTGCTTTCTCAAGAAGTCTTTATTCTCAGCCCCATCTCAGGTATCAAGTCAAAAGTGTTCACAGGGAGTTTGGGGCTAGATCAAGATCACAGGTCTCCAAAGTTTTTTGATGTTCCATCCTTATTGCTAAAGAGAATTTTAGCCCTTATTCCTAAAGCTATTCACTCTAATTTATCCACAATTTAAGATGCATGAATTGCTACCATTAGTGTTCCAAAGCACAATACACATTAAGAGTAGAGCTCATCAAATCCATACTGCAAATAGTCTCATAGATGTATTGAAAGTTTTAGTTAACTTGCCAGCTCCAATGAGATCATCAGTTTACCTTGTTGCATGGCCAAAAAAGAGTTTGTAATGAAACATTGTAAGCTTCCATTATTTGTATGTTTTTTAAAAAGGTAGAGGTTTTTTTGGTAGTACTGAGGTACTTTTTTAAAAAAAATTTTTAACTCAAGGCCTTTGCTAAACAAGTGCTGGGTCTCATGCTTTTGCCTGGGTCAGTTTCCTAAGTCACGATCCTCTTACTTATACCTCCCTGGGGTTACACACGTATGCCAGCATGTCTGCGGGCATGCAACCCATCTAGTGGACAGTCTCCAATCCAACCAATGAGGGTCAGTTTACTTACAGCTAGGTGATAAAATTCATCAGGGCCCTGAGTCCTCTTACTGTAACAGCTGCAGATGAATAGAGAGTAAGCAAGCACTGATCAATGCTTCTAGAATGTAGAAGGACATCCCTCCCTCTTCCCCAAGGTCCCCACAGACAGGTGGCTCATGGGATGTTTGACAGGAACTCCTTGAGAGAGAGAGGACCAGCATGTATTAAATAATGTACCAACTGGTCTGTGAAGGTGGCTCAGTGGTAGAGTGCTTGCCTTGCATGCATGAGGCCCTGGGTTTGATTCTTCAGCACCACATAAATAGATAAAGCCAGAAGTGGTGCTGTGGCTCAAGTGATAGAGCGCTAGCCTTGAGCTGAAGAGCTGAGGGACAGTGCCCAGGCCCAGAGTTCAAGTCCCATGACTGACAAAATAATGATGATGATGATGATGTACCAACTTAGTCCAGTTTTGGGTTTTGCAGTGCTAGTGTATGCTAGTCCAACACTCCACCACTGAGCTATACCCAGAGGTGCTATGCTACGCTCTACCACTTATCTACCTCCCATCCATTTTAGACACATTCAATAGCTTTACTTAATAGTTGTACTTCAAACTACGTGTTTTTTTTTTATCAAGAATATGCATTCAAATGTTCTTGGAAGATGTTGTAACTTGACCATAAGCTACTACATAAAGCTTAGTACATTTTTAAACTATGGACACTGCATACTTCATAGTTTAATAACATTAATCATTATGCAATATATTTTTTGTCTGTCATGGGCCTTGAACTTGGGGCTTGGGTTTCAAGCCTGGAGCCTTCTGCTCAATGCCAACCTTTACTACTTTTACTCACAGTGCCACTTCCAGTTTCCTGGTAGTTAATTGGAGATAAGAGTCTCATGGCCTTTGTTGCCTGGGCTGGCTTTGAACCTTGATCCTCAGATCTCAGCCTCCTGAGTAGCTAGGATTACAGGTATGAGCCACCAGCACCTGGCTCAAAGCAACATTTTTTAAAATAGAAATATGCCATGCTATTGGGTACAAACTAGTAAGGGGGGTGGGCTGGCAAGGGAGATAGAGGGAGAGATTATTGTCAAAATAGATTATTTGCAACTGTAAAAATGGAGCAAGGAAAACTGTTGGGGGTACTTTTGTAGGGGGAGAGAGGTACGGAGTGTGATAGAGGGGGTGAAATAAACTAAATTTTATTGTATAAAATGTTTGGAAATATGAGAAATTCCTCCTATATAACTGATATAAACCAATAAGCAAAGCAAAAACTAGAACGGGGGAGATTCTCTTCTGACATTATCCTTGTCTCTCTGTGTGTGATACTAGGGTTTAATCTCAGGTCTTGATGCTTGCTAGGCAGGTGCTCTACTGCTTGAGCCTCTACAGTATCTATCATGAAAAAGAAAACAAACTGTAACGAGAATAATTTGGAAGATATTTTAAATTCTCATGTTGATAGTTAGTGAGGTACTCTACCATTTGGACCACACCCTTACCCCTTTCTTCTTTAGTTTATTTTTCACTAAAGTCTGGAGCTTTTGCCAGACCCACCTCAGACCATGAGCCTCCTATCTATAATTCCCACCTAGCTGGGATTATAGGGGTATGCTACAATGACCGGCTGTTTTTTTTTTTTTTGAGATAAGTTCTCACCAAGATTTTTTTTTTTTTGGCTAGGCCCTGCATCTCCCTATTTCAGCCTCTCTCACAGCTGGGACTACAGGCTGTACCACTATGTCAATCCCTACATTTTATTTTTTTAAGAAATGTTCAGTTGAGCCAGGAGCTGATAACTGAAAGCTATAATCCTAGCTCTAGGAAGCAGAGACCTGGAGGCTTGTGATTAAAACCAAACTGGGGAGAAAAGTCCATGAGACTCCATCTCCAATTAACCAGCAAAAAGCTGGAGTAGAAGTGTGACTCAAGTGGTGAAGTACCAGCTGTGAGCAAGAAAATTGAGTGTGAGTAGAAGGTTGTAAGTTTACATCCTTTTATCAGACGTTTTTTAAATCGATAAATGTTAAGTTGTGGTGAAAATACAAAGTTGATTATCTTAATTTTTGTGTATGTGCTTCATTTTGTGTATGTGATTGAACCTAAGGCTTCATACACCTGCTTTGCCACTGAGCCACAACCCCGCGCTACCTTTTTTTTTTTCAATACTGAGGATTAAAGTCTTACACTTTACCACTTAAACCATAGCCCCATCCTTTTGTTCACAGTCGTGGGTCTAACTTTTCCTGGTAATCCTTGAATTTGCAGTCCCCCAGTCTTTGCCTCCTGCCTTCAGAATAGTTGGGATTACAGACACGCACAATTACACCCAGCCTGACTGCTCTCAGTCATCACTGAATTTGCTGTTTTACTGAATCAGCCATTCAGACTGTCATGCCATGTTAGAATTCTTTCCATTTTGCCAAAATTGAAAATCTTTGCCTATGAAACAAAGGCTTCTTTTCCCCTCCACCCATCATGTTTAATGTTTGCGTGTGGTGCTAGAAATTGGGTCTCTCCTCATAAAATTTTAAATAATACAAGCAAAGTTCGAATACTTTCTATCTTTACCGACATTTATATACTTAGAAAGTTGGACAGTGCCGCAATCTCCCCACTCCTGGAGAACTGTGGCATCTGGAAGTCCATTTAAACAGCTGGGACTCCCCAAAGCTGTGTGTCAGCCTAACACCACACTGCAGCCATACCTAGCGCCTGGCGAGGCCGGGAGACAGCCCAACCAGCAGCTGCAAGCTCTCCTTTGGTAGCGGTCAAAAGATTTTGAAGAGCATGTTTCCCTTTGCCCTCCCTCCCCCACTTCACCTCCAAGATGGACTCTTCCCTGGTGGACCTATAGATCTAGTCCTCTGGGATTAATGACACAATGCCATGAATATAAGACTCATTACCACATGATGTGCTTCAAGCATCTGGGCCAACTGTACTTTCGTTACAGTTCAGACAGCAGAAGTGGGAGCTTTAATTCACATGTCACTCACAACCTGGAATGAATGAACCAGGTGAAACCAGCAATGCATGTGAGACCTGGGTGTGGAGCCTGTGGCTTTCCCATTCGCTCACTTCCTTTGGCTTCCTGGCCAGTACTAGAAGAACATTCCTGCCAGGGGAGAGCCGAGGAGGCAAATACTGCTTCAATTCTGGTCCTGAACAGGCTGGCAACCAGCAAAAAATTGCATATGTATTCTTAAAAATCGTACATTTAGAAACCCATTGTATGAGACTCTTAAATTTGGGGGGGTGTGGCTCGAAAGTCAACTGGGAAAAATTTTAAACCTGCTTCTCCCTAAGTCTCCTACCTACCCCCAAATCACTTTAGATGTAGAATAAAGGTTGGCTCAGACAAATTAGGAGGAATTGGCGTAGGGGGTGGGGTGTCCAGTTTCCCTCCAATACGGGGTGCCACTCCCCCTTGGGGACTCATTACCACCACAGTCTGCCTCATCTCCTCCCCGTTAATATTTACCGCCAGTAGCATTTTATTTGTGCTAAAATAGGAACCTCTCTTGTACCCCGGCTTACCTACCATGTCCGGGCCATGCATGCTAATAAGCTATAGGGTCAGAGTTGTAAGCCTGGACTGTGTCCATGGCTGGGATGTTAGAGGAAGCAGAAGGAATGGAATGGACATTCTTAACCAGAGACCTATTGCTTCCATAGCAACACTTGTCCTCCAAGACTTGGGAGGCACTGGTTGGTCAATGGTCTTTGTTAAACTTCTGAAGGGCCAGAGGAAGTTAAGTCTGGGAGCTACTTGTAATAAGTGTTTTGATTCCTACTCTCACTTAATAGAAAAGCCCTCAGAGGTTGATCATGTTATTCTGATTTGCAAATAAGCAAACTGAGGCTTAGATATGTTAAGTTTCCCAGGGGTGCACTATAGTAAGTGCTGTTCAGAATATTGGCCTTTGGTTTATGGAGACAATGAGAAAAACGTTCAAAATTGGAATGGAGTAGAAAGTCCAGGAGGATTTTGCTGTCTGCCTGGCGGAAATGAAAATTCTGTGTGTGTGTATGTGTGTGTGTGTGCACGCGCGCATGCATGCATGCATGCATGTGTGCCAATCCTAGGGCTTGAACTCAGAACCTAAGATTCCTTTGCTCAGCCCCACTTCTAGATTTTTTTTTTTTTGGTGCTTAATTGGAGATAGAATCTCACCAACTTTCTTGCCCCCGCTGACTCTGAACTGCAATCCTCAGAACCCAGTCTTCTGAGTAGCTAGGATTACAGGCGGGAGCCACCAGCATCTGGCTGAGAGTTTCTAGTAAGATGTGATTGCAGCATCATGCTGCAAAGCCCTGGCCACAATCTGCATCTGGCAAGCTGGAGCCCTCCCATTGCCTTAGGTGGGTTGTAGCTAAGGCTCCCTGGCTCAGCACCAGAACTCTACATGAGGAGCTGAAGATCCCACACTGAACAGCAATGGGGGAGAGCATCCAAGGGACCCTACTCATTATGTTTCCTACAGCAGGGAAGGGTACTATCTTTTCCTTTCCTATTGAGAAAAATAAAAAGCACAGTAACACCAATCCCAGTGCTAGGGGGGGAGGAGGAATAAAAGTTCAAGGCCACCCTGAGCTACATAGAAAAAAACAAACAAACAAACAATAAATTGGTTTTAAGCACAGAAACGTTTCTCCCCTGCAGGAGGCCTTTAGCTCACAGTCTTCCTCCTGGACTCATCCTAGGCATGGAGAAGCCAGTCCTGGGGGTATGCGCTTGTAGGGAGGCCAGTGGTCTAGTCGGGAGCACAAGAAGGACCTGCGGTGCCTTTGGGGATCTCCAGGAGCCCGGCGGGGGGCGGGGGGGGGCTGAGTCTGGTGCCAGTGTTGCAGGGCTCCGAGTGGCCAGCCGTCTGGCCATGTACAGCAACCGCCACCAGGGGGCGCAGCATGCTTGGGATGGAGATGAAGATGCTTCACAGGCATCAAGCATCTCCGTTTAGAATGTCACTCATCTGTGACATTGCGTGTTTAGGATGATAAAAGACAGCAAAAATGAAAGAAACAAAATATACCAGTTTTATAAGCCTTCAATCCAAACTTGCACATCTTCCAAAGAGAGGCAAGTTAAAGGTTCAATCACAGAGGTTCACCCCAGACAGGGACAACATCTGGACTATTGGCTCAACCGTTTGGAGGATAATGTCCATCACAAAGCAAACACTCACTATTTGTCAAACAAATGAACGAGTAAATGAATACAATTTGCAAGGTCCTGAATGGGGGTCAACCAGTGGCTTTTCCCTTCATCAAACAGAAAGAAGTGCTAGAACAAATCTAGGGGTCTGAAGGAGAAAGACTGAAGTGAGTGGCTTAGTATGTGCCTGTCTTTAAAAGAGTAAAAGCAACTAAGCTACACAAAGAATGATGAAATGGCAATAGGACTTCTGTTTCTAATTTCATTTAGGAGGCCCTGAAACTTATGAATGAAGTTCAAGAGCATCTGGAGGAAGAGGAAAGGTTATGCCAGGCATCTTCAGCCAACTCCTGGGACCGATGCCGGTATTGCCTGCAGAGCAAGTATGTGAGATTATACACAACCCGCAAACCTGGCTGGTCCTCCGTGAAAAGTACGGTAAGCAGAAAGGAGAGTTCAACGTCTCAGAGCCCTTCAGGAATCTAGATAAGCTTTCTTGTATTAACTTATATTAGTATTTACAATACCTGACCTGATTTTAGCCCTTTATGATCTACAGTTTAACAGTAATGTTTATGTATCACCACCTGAGGATGTAAGTTAGAACAACCATTTAGTCTTTATGCCCCATTTCCCCACATTTTATTAATGTAAATTCATTGTATAAGCAGGTTCATTCTCATATGCCCATATATGCAGACCCTGTACCCTGATCAGACTCATCCCAAATGTATCCCTCTTCTTAATGACACTGAATGTATCTCCTTTCCAAGTACCCTGACTCTTCCCACTTTCCAGTTGTTAGTCGTGAATGCATTCCCACCAGGCTGTAAGCTCTTTGAGGGCAGAGATCATGCCTTATTTGTCTTCATCTGAACAGTTCACGCATCCAATAAATGTTTGCTGAATTGCATTCTCAATTATAATATTACTCTCTGATTTCAATGGGCTTTAGTTTTTTTCCCCACCTATTATATGAAGACTTGTCTCCCTCCTCGTTGTGTAGCACTTACACGCCTGTATTATCTCCTCTCACCCACTCTATGGTGTCCTGGGGGACTGGCATGTTTGCTTTTCTAGCCCCTCTGGCTATCTTCCAGACAGAGGGGTTCACAGAGGGTGGTGACCTGGATAGGATGAGCTCTGCTCATGAAAGGCTGAAGTTGGCCTGGATTCTTCTCCCCCTTCAAGAAACAAGCTGAATATGAAATGGAGTGGAATTGCACGCTCTGCAGCAGCGTGTGCACTAATTAGAGTACACACTGGCCTGGCAGGGCCATGCTCAACGACAAAGCACAGCCTCGAGGATAATGAACGTGCCAAGTTAATTTGCCTCCACTGTTAATTGAGGCTGCTTTTATTTTTAGAGCCCCTGGAGGATGAGTATTGGAGGTCAAATTGAGGGTTATTCTCATGGGGGCTAGTTGTCTGACCTTATAGACATTTCTTGGGGATATGGAAATATATGTGTATATATATTATATATCTGGTCTCTCTCTATATATATATTCCTATATAAGAATGGGGGGCAAGGGAGAGAGAACGTGTCTTGTGTCAGGAGAACCCACTATGTTACCCAACTGGTCTCAAACTCTCAAACTACTGGCCTCATTCTCTCATCTTCGCCTCCTGAGACCATGGATGTGTCCCCAGCATTGAACTTCTATTTTTGTGGATGGAATCAAGTCACCATAAAGTGGCAAAAGGGAAAGCGGGCAGTAATCTGTCCAGATGACTTCCTGAGAACTCAAAGAGACCTAGAAAGCCCTCAGTGAGGGGAAAATTCTTTGCGTAGCTGGAATATTCAACAATGGCCAACACTCAGCACATTTATGTCACGATCACAGACAGGCAACTGCAGTCTGTCCAGACTCAGGTGTCATAGACACCCAGAAGAGCATAGTGTCACTGCTGGGAAATCCCCACTGAAAGATTCACAAAATACACCACCTTGGCCATCCTTCCTTTGACTATAACAAGGAGGCCTTTGATCCCTGCAAACACAGAACTTTCCCTAATGAATCTGTTAGGCTGGATTTGTTATCTACACATCTGTGTTCATCTTTCCATGGCCCAACTGAGAGGACACGAAAGAAGATCGTATAAAGACATTAGTGACAATCCATTAAAGAATTAACAACAAAAAGAGCTAAGATAGGTGAAAGGGAAAGCCTTTGGCAGATTTTACACTCCATTTCCATGTTGTCCTGTGGACAAAGGTAGCCAGCTGCTAGTTTATCAGGTGATTTGGCTTGTCCAGTAGATTGAAAACTTGGCCTTTCCCAGATACCAGTAGGCAAAACTAAACCAGGAGAAATTCAGATGCTAATTCCACAGTCAAAGTCAAAGCCACGTAGGCTTTGTTAATGTATTTCAGCATGTCTTCTTCCTAGTTCCTTCACAATGGAACGGCCTCTGTATGCTGACTTTAAAATGTGAAGAAATGGTCTAGAAGGAAAATAAATATTCTCTTTGTCCCCTGCCTCACCCGACAGATGGAGCAGTTTTTCAGGAAGCTGTACCAGTTTCTGTTTCCCCTCCATGATGACCAAGATGACCTCCCTGCCCATGGAAAGTCCACGGAAGAGGACCCACGGGTGACACAGATGGAGGGCGTGTTCTGCCAGCTGACTGAAGACGTGAGAATCCTCTTCAATAGGAGCCTCTTTGTCTTCAAACAAATGCAGCAAGAATTCGACCAGGCTTTTCAGTCCTACTTCATGTCAGACTCTGACCTCATGGAGCCTTCCTTTTTTCCAACTTTCTCCAAGAAGCCAATTCCCAAAGCAGATCTTGAGCCAAGGTGGGACCTCCCCAATTTCTTCAGGCTACTTGGTAATCTCAGTCTCTCTGTTTATGAAAGAGTCAGCAAATCAATCAAAAGCACGCTGGACGCCATTCAGGATTCTTCGACACCACACCAAGGTGAATATTGTAAGATTCCTTTTATTTAGATTCCTTTTATTTCCTTTTAGTTAGAGCTTTGGAAATGGTAGACATTTCTGAATTACTAGACAGCATTTATTTTTATTTTTATTTGTCTTGCTTCTGGGGCTTACATGTAGGACCTGGACACTCTTCCTTAGCTTTTTTTCCCCTCAAGACTGGTGCTTTACTACTTGAGCCACAATTCCACTTCTGGCTTTTTGCTGGTTATTTGAAGATAAAGAGTCTTATGACAAACAGTGAACAAATACAGCAGGGGTACTACTAGATACTATGCAGAAAATAAACTATACAATTTGTGGGTGGGATGGGAGGAAAAATCAGATCAGGGAAGGGGGGGGGGCTGGTCCAAAAAGAAATGTACTCATTATACCTGACTTATGTAACTGTAACCCCTCTGTACATCACCTCTACAAAAACAATAAAATATATTTTGTAAAAAAGAAGGAACTCCCCAGAAGTCTTCACAAAAGAAAAGCCTTTGAGGGATTTTTAAAACAGATGTGCATAAACTTATGAGGAAATTAAAAAAAAACAGACTGCATGATATAAGAATAGAATATTGTTCAAGCCAAAAAAAAAAAAACCAACCAAGAATCTCGTGGATTTTTCTGCCCAGGATTTATTTATTTATTTTTATTGCAAAGTTGATGTACAGAGGGTTACAAGTAATGGCTATATTTTTGTTTGAACAGTGTCACCTCTTCCCTCATTTTCTTCCAGATTTTTTCCCTCCCGACCTCCCTCCCCCACAAGTTACATAGTTCATTTTTAACAAAATCTCTAAGACCTTCTGAGCTTTGCTCCTGGTGGTAGGCAGAATAGTTGCCCAAAGATCGCTCTCTAGTTTCTAGAACCTGTAAATGTGCTGTTTCAAGGTGAAAAAGTAACGTTGTACATGGAATTAAGGTGGCTAATCTGCTGGCTTTAAAAATATGGAGACTATGCTGGATTGTGATAGTAGATTGGATGTAATTTTGAGAATGATTACATGTAATCACTTATAAGAGGAAAGAGGTAGAAAACAACCCCGGTGGGGCTTGGGGAGTGTTGTCCTGCTTGGCTGATTTCAAGATGGAGGAAGAGGCCACATGCCAAGGAAGAAAGGCAGTCTTAGGAAGTTAGAAATGATATAAAAATGAGTTCTCTCTAGAGCCACTGCAAAAACCTGCCCTGCTTCGGAAGTGGCGCTGTAGCTCAAGTGGTAGAGCGCTGGCCTTGAGCTGAAGAGCTGAGGGACAGCGCCCAGGCCCAGAGTTGAAGTCCCACGACCGACAAAAAAAAAAAAAAACCTGCCCTGCTGTCATCTTGCTGTTAACCCAGCGAGACTCACTTGAGAAGCGATGTAGAAAAATACAATAATAAACATGTGTTGTTGTTTCAAGCCATTGACATCGTGGTCCTCTGTGATAGCAGCGACAGTGACAGGAATCTCATACGTGTCTTTTTTCAATGACAATGATACAATGACTGACATTCACTGAGGAAGTGCTGTGTGTCTGGCAGCCAACAGCTGGACCTTCAAGTTCATGAGCACAATTAGGAACATAATTGAAACAGCATGTTTCACCCTTAAATAGAAAGAGGGAGTAACAGTTATTTAAAATATCTTGATATTGAATGTTATTTTTAATTTTACTGATTTGTTACTGATTGTTAATTCCCCTAGAAAAAGAAGTTTCTCAAAATTTGTTGGCTTTAGGTGTTTTCTTCAACTTTTTTTTTTTTTTTTTTGGTCAGTTTGAAGTCAGGACTTCTTGTGCGCTCTCTCTCTCTCTTTGTTTCCATGCTCCATTGGTACTCCGCCACTTACTCAAGCCACAACTCCAGTCCTGCTTTTTGCTGGTTAAATGGAGATGAAGTCTGGAGAGCATTTTTTTCCCAGGCTGGCTTTGAACCATGCTCCTGTGGATCTCAGCCTCCTGAGCAGCTAGAATTATAGACATGAACCACTGATGTGTAAACAAGTAGTACTATAATAAAATCAACACCTATCACCTAGTTACAACATTTCCAGTATCTGTGGAATTTCCAAGTACTTTCCAATTACAACTAAATATTTTAAGTAATTATTAAAGTTTTTAGGAGAGGCAGTATTGGGGATCAAACAGGATCTTGGGGAACATTGAACAGAATTTCAAAGAATGAAGTGGCATCCATTCACCTATTTAACCCTATTGGTTACTGCTCCTACTCCCTCTCAGAACAAAGGAACTGAAATGAAGGAAAACTTAACACTGGATAAACCAATTTTTAGCCAAGTAGTATTTGGAAATTGGCATTAGCTCTTTAACCCTATTGGTTAAGAATTGTAAGAAATAATAATGAATGACCTAGCAACTCAGGAGACTGAGATCCGAGGATCGTGGTTCAAAGCTCTGGCAAGAAAGTCTGTGAGATTTGTATCTCCAATAAACCACCACCCCTCCAAAAAATGCCAGAAGTGGAGCTGTGGCACAGTGGTAGAGCATTAGCCTTGAGCAAAGAAGCTTAGAAACAGTGCTAAGGCCCTGAGTTCAAGCTCCAGTATGGGAAGAAAGAAAGAAAGAGGGGGGGGGAGGGAGGGAGAGGGGGAGGGAGGGAGAGGAGGA